CCATCGCAACATCAAGATATTATTTGCCCTGATCTATGCAAAACTGTATTAAATATCCGGACATATGCGTCAGGAAAACTAGAATAATGGTTCTAATTAAACAATAGGAAAAGGTGTTAGGAAACAATGGACAATGTATAGATTTATAATACTCTGTTTAAATCTAAAGATAATAATTTTTTTTGTTATTTATTTGCCTTGAGTTTTAAAGTTATTTAAAAAAATCGCACTTGTTCTTAATTGCATTTTTTAAAGCCGGTTTCATTGCACAAATACATCAACATTAATTAAATAAATAAATTTTAAAAAATTACTCTTGTATTCCTTCCCCGCTAAAATATCGTGACATCTATTATATACACAATTTCTACGATTATTACAACGATAAATGTTTTAAAATTGCACTTTTTAGCTTTGAGTGCTCCATTAAACGCACTTGAACTCTTGATGTGCACTGTAGTCGCACTTCATTTGAATATTGAAATCATGTGCCTGCGGCAAAAACAAAGTACATGTGCCCATTAAAGTAACTACAATATCCGAAAACTCCCGAAAGGCCATAATTTAAATTTATTTTCACTTCATAAAGATGAGGTATAAATAATTAAATACGCGTACTTCATTAAAAATTATCAGTCATAAAAGGTAAAAAAATCTGCCCGATGCTTTTTTATTGCTCCTTAGCTCCTCCTTCAGTAACTTGATCCTGCGGGTATATTTTTGTAAGCAGTTTGGTTAATATTTTCAAGTATCCTAAATGTGCGTTGAGATATTCAATAAAATGTTGTAGTATATAATTTGCACTTCCCTACTCCATAAAAACAAATGATTGTACTTTAACTTGTATTTAAATGTAATATATTCTAATTTACTGCAGTTGTTAATATCAAAGCAATTACTATTTAATTGATCTGATTTTACAACTATAGATTATCATAATATGTTATGTTATTCAGTTAAAACTGCAATTATATTAAATATTGTGTATTGAAATTTACATATAATAATTAAATGTAACAATTATTATTACATACAACAAAAATTATTTGTAATTAATTTAAGAATAATAATATTTCATTGATTAGATTAAAGACCTGATTACTGAGAGAGTCATTACTCATACTAACTCATACTAATTAATAATTACTAACTCATAGCGACCCTACCATGAACTATGATATCACAACTGACGAGACCTTACATTCTTATAGAGCAGAATATATTATCTCTTAATGCTGAACACTTTCGTAAGAAAGAGAGAGAGGAGAGAGAGAGAGAGAGCTGATGACATAATTGCATAATAAATCACTTTGCTTCCGAACAGAGCTGGACAACTGCAATATTTATGGTCTCTTCCTTTCCTTCATCTCTACAACTTAAACAATATTCAATATTCTGTTTGAAGAACTTCCGATCTAAGAGCATGACTACCAAATATCAGGTAACCTATTATTATCATACTTGATGCGACAACTTGGTCGCTTGCTATCACACATCATGCACTGTCGACATTACTTTGAACACTCATCAGCAAAAAATACAGCAAATAGAGTACAAATTAAAATCATGCGTGCATTTAAACGATGTTTTCGCTTCCATGCCTTAGAACAGAATGAAATTTGCATGGAAGCCGACTAAAATCCGATTGTTTACGAAAAAAAAGCGAACAAGAGTGACGATAAATCAAAATATTTTGATTTCCATCAGTCTGCTCGTTATTCCTGCAAATATTGCTATTGCACATGAGACTTGGGATCAAGGTGTATGCATGCATCTCAAAAAGTCTCTTTACAAATTGAGGATACTCAACCTTCTCATGGTGATTCCTGTTTTAAACATAGCAACCGAGTGTTCAGCGGTATAACTTTTCAACAACATCTGGTTATTAGGGAAATAACAATTGCCACATAACGATTGGAGCAGGTTCGAAGGCCCGGGATCTAACAACTTTTATGCAAGCTACCGAAATAGGATGCTTTGGTCTAATCAGCCACTGTATTTGACTTCTAAATGATTCGAGTATTTACAAGAGCAGCTTCGGATAGGAATGGAACGAATGGGTAACGACGTAGGGGTGTCTGGAATGCATATGTGAATAGACTAAGTTCTTGAATTGTGATTATAATTTATAGAACATGTCATAATAATACATGAGACTTAGCACAAATTTCGCATTTCAACGTACTAAATATGATGTGTAATACCCGCTTAAGTCACAACCTCAGCAATGTTTCGGTCATATTAACCTAGACTTTAGACAAATACATTCGTTCGACTAGGATGGTTTGATAATACTTTTTTTCAATAATAATTAACAAATATAGATAGGAATTCCTAGGCCTATTCTATACTTTTGTTTATCATTCATTGAAGCTATTAAATATTGAAAATAATGACATGACTATTGGTAATAGATAGCCGTATGTATACATATATTAATTCGATTCATTTCCTACAACGTATAGCTCGTACAGTTCGAATGAAATAACACCTTATACAGATACTCGTATATGTATAAGCACAAGAGACTTATATAACAAACGTGTACAAACTGTCCTATTACTGATTTCACTGTAGAGCTGTGATAGTTCAACTGCGAATCAGCTGAGTAACTGTGAACCATTCTCTTAAAGTTATAGCAATAAGGCTCAGTTAGACGGTACGTAACGTAAGAAATTAATTAATTAAATTAAGCGAAAAGCACAACCAACCAAACTTGTTTGTTTGATAGAAACGAAATAAACATAGTACACCGTTTTTGTTTATTTCGTTCCTATCAAATACGCAGATTTGGTTGGTTGTGCATTTCACTTCGAATTAATTTCTTACGTTACCTACCGTCTAACTGAGCCTTAAATAGCATGATCGGTTTTAAAGATTTTTAACGTCGTTATTATGAGAATAAATTTATGTGGAGATATATCCGCCCTCTCTCTCTCTCTCTCTCTGTCTCTCTTTGCCTTTCGTAATAAATACTTTAATATTTACAGGACAGTCGAAAATATATACGCAATCAAAATTTTCTCTTGCTTTTGCAATTATCAAAACTACAAATCTTTTAAGCTACTTATTAGCAGCAGTTAAATAAATTTTCATCGCAAATCACACTGTAAATTATCTTAAATCTGACATTGAGCTTCACGCCCTTTTCTCAAACAAAGGCGCTGATGAATGCTGAGCATCCATTAACTACTGTAAACAGAATCCGTGACTTGTCTTGAAGTTTCGATTTCAATTTACTCACAATTTAATTATACGCAATTTACAGGTACGAAAACTCACTGAAATTTAAAATAATGATTGTAAAAATTGTTGTTAACTGAAATAGGCGCAAGGGTGGGTCAAAGTCAAAATTTAAAAATCGGAAAATTTAAGTACATGAAGGTTAATTGCTTCGTTATTGGTAACTGCTGTAAAGTATCTTAACTGAAAATAATTTTCATTTTTTTTTGGTAAAAAATTTCGTTGAAAACCTGTAAACCAAGTCAGTGCTGATCAGATAGAGATCACAAAAGATCTGGTTTTCTGTACAGCAGCAGAGCGACTCTTCAGCTAATTTTTTCCTAAAACTTCCGATATGTAAATTATTTCCAAATAAAAATGTAAACACGAAAAAGTATTTTACAATTCAATTCAATCTCAACAGCAAATAAAGCAGCACAGACAAATTTTGTATCTGAGTTCACATATTTTCAACGGTGAAAGTTTTTTTATTTGATTTATTTTCAACAATAAAATTCGTTAGCAAATCGAGATTTTTGTTACGACATGAGTCGCTGACTCCACGGAGTCAAAATGGTGTTACAGTAATAGGAGGAAGAGCATTCAGTCCAACCATATATGCAATAATTGTAATGCATCGACAAACAAAAGATAGAAGACTCAAATTACGTGGAATGCATATACAGATGTACAGAACAGAAACATCTAACCTTTCTAGGTTTCAAGAAGAATAATTTCTTTATAAAGAATTATTTAAAATACTGAACGCATATTTTTTCACAGATTTTCTAATAACAATGACCCTTTGATAATATTATAAAGCTGTTCTCTGTTAGATCAACAAGATATTTTTGAAAAACACTGTCTTAGAAAAAGTACTCGTATTGCATATATAAATTTACATATAGTTTTCATTGCCTTTGTTTACCTATTACCTAGTAGAGTCAATTAGACTTAAGAATAGTCTTCAGTTTACTCAACGCATTTTGTTATACTTTTATAGGCATTAATAAAAAAATTTTTGTGTAAATATTTCAAAAAATTCATTTTACAAATATTTGAACAATGAGCTGAACGATATTTCTATAAGTTTTTAGCTGTTTCTAAGAACTAGAAATAGTGATTTCAAAAAATTGAGCTTCAATTTGCCAAAGTAGCAAAAGCATGCTCCACACTTGTCTATCTCTTTGCTCATTCCTTTGCTTTCAAGGAAAGGATTGATTATACTGCGACACCAAATAGCTGTTCCGGAAGTGTTCGGTATTTCGTTTCTGAAGTACTCATAATTGTTATCAAGTACCTTTCAGAACTCTTGTAAAATTTCTGCTGTTCGAGGTACCAAGGTTGCTTCTGCTTCTAAACCCAAGATTAAGTTTCAATAATAACGTCTCCTTTATAATTTAAATCAAATAAATTTTAGACTTTAAAGCTGGGACAGTATTCTTTCAAAGAAGACCCAGGTCTGTCGTTATGTCTGTCTGTTCCAAAATGTTTTTTCAGTACAGGAACTACATTGAAGCGTAAGAGATAACCAAGGCATTTTGTTTGCTTTGTGATTTCCTGATTTTAGAGCAGACCGTGTTATATGCATAATGTAATGTACGTATTTTTTGGGTAACATTTACTCCATCATTTCTAAATTATTCTGTTCATACTGCCAATTACTAACTAGATTTACTGAAATTCCACCATACACCTTTTTTATAATACTTTAAATCACAGTCAGTTATCAAGCTCATATATTAAAAATTCTACAAATCTCTATCTTTCCTTTTTAGAAATATATCTACGCCTGTTAAAGACTTTTATGCTGGTCGTAATGTCTTCATTACTGGAGCTACAGGTTTTGTTGGTGTAACTATTATAGAGAAATTGTTACGTGATATACCCAACATTGCCACTATATACTTATTAATGCGCCCCAAAAAGGGAAAATCTGTAGAACAACGTTTAGAAGATATAAAAAATAATTCGGTATTTGATAAATTCAAAGAATCAAAGTTGGAATCACGTTTCTCAAAGCTTGTACCGATCGAGGGAGATGTTGGTGAAGAACATTTAGGAATCTCCGAAATCAATCGTCAAATTTTAATTGAAAATGTGCATGTAGTATTCCATTCGGCTGCTACTTTGGATTTTTTCCAAACTCTTAAGACAACAACAAATATCAATTTGCGAGGCACAAGACGTGTTGTTGAACTATGCAAGCAAATACAAAATTTACAGGTAAACTTTATCTAAACAATATCAAAAAGTTACGGTCTCGATGAAGTCTAACCCGATTTATGAATGAATGTAATTCTTTTTAGGCACTTGTGCATGTTTCCAGCGCTTATGTTAATTCATATATAACTGAAGTGGAAGAAAAGTTATATCCATCACCAGATGATCCCGAAAAGGTTATACATTTAGCTGAAACACTTACTGATGAAGCTCTTAAAGATTTGGAACCGAAGTAATAAAACTGTTATATCATTTAAGTATTTTAAAACTTAATGATAACGTATTCTTTTTCAGACTACTTAAAGATCATCCCAATACTTATACATTTACAAAACATCTCGCAGAACATGAGGTGGCTAACGTAGCTAAAAGTTTTCCATGTGGCATTGTACGTCCCAGTATGAGTAAGTTCCCAGTAATGTCTTTTTTACACACAATTATAAATATTCATTCAATTTCAAATTTTATGAATAGTTACGCCTGCTTGGAAGCAACCTATACCAGGTTGGACTATATCTAAAAATGGTCCACAAGGTTTCTTTATGGGCGCTTCAAATGGTATTCTACGTCGTTTGCCATTAGATCCATCTATAATTATGGATTATATACCGGTTGATGTGGTAGTCAATGCAATTATTACCACCGGATATTATGTTAATGCGCTGAAGTGAGTAACTATAAATACGTTTTAAAATAACATAGTAATAAAAACATTATTATATTATATTACTATTATATTATATTGCTATTATATTATATTGCTATTATATTATATTGCTATTATGGCCGTGTGCGTGTTCGAGTAAATTGAGGTAAAGTAAATTGAAATTTCCTAGGGATTTCTTACACTAAGTGAAGTGTAAATATTTATTTATTTATAGCACTTTATTATTATTTATGTTTAAAAGTTTTCAAATTTATTTATTAAACATCTTATAAAATTTTCACAATGGTAATATTTAATTTTTATCTAATTTACCCTACTCAAAATTCTGGTAAATACCAACATTCGCTGTCATACTGACAAAATTTACTAATTCCCTCAGTTTACCATCAATCGAACTCACACACGACCTATATTATATTATGCTCCGGTGTATTGCTTAAAAAATTGCGCAAAATATTAGCTTGGCAATCATGTTTATTCACTTGCCTAGAAATATGCTACATAACTTTCTGCTAATATTTCTACTCAAGTGGTAAATTTGTACAGCTTGTCAGCTAAGCGATATGGTTAAGTGCGCTAACGTTTCAGTATTCATTAGAGAAACACTTGTGCCTGAGTTCGAATCGCGCGATAGTCCGTTGTATTGAAGAAAAATATTTGCGAAGAAAATTATGAGAATAAAAAGGCCTTTCAAACAAAAAACTGCTTCATAGAGTTTTTCCCATTGATGGAATTATGCTACTTAAAATGAAGAGGCTAAATTAATGTTAGAGGAAATCTGCCTTCGGTGGCCCAATAATACCCAGTTGGGTGAACTGTCATCCTCGATTTCCCCTACATGATTTTTTTTAATTTAAAAATAAAATTTTTCTCTTCGTTTTATTTATTACTGGCTTTTTTTCTAATTAAATAAAAATTGGTTAATAAAAATCACGAGAAATATTTATGATTTATACTGAAAATAATTCCAATTCGTTTCGTTTAATGACAAATCGACTAAATTTCCTAGTGAAAAATGTTAATATATTTTTTTTTTAAACAAATAAATATGACAAAATGTTTTAGTTTTGATCTGCGATGAGTAATTGTATGAAAGTTTAAATCTCTATTTAATATATACTCATAATATATAGATTTTATACTGCTTTTTCGGGACTAAAACATATGAGTTATATCTCATAGAACATATGAGTTCTAATATATATTTAAAGTTTATTAATATATTTATATGTATTTCAGAATTAAAAATGGCAAACCAGCGGAATTACAGATATTCCATTTAACTTCAAGCACCTATAAGCCATTCCGTTTTGAATTATTAATAAATAAAATTAATCGATTCCTGCATGACTATCCATTGGTTTCAGCAGTTTGGTAAGTGGTATTTTTATATTTATTAAATGTTAATTTTTACACTGAAATCGTCTTTGTTTATAGGTATCCAAATCTTAAGCTAGTACGTAGTCTCTTCCTGTTTCGCTTGGGCGCCATATTATTTCATTTCATTCCCGGTTACATATTGGACTTTGTGACAAAACTGAGTGGTGGTCGACCAATGTAAGTTTACTTTAATGCTTATGTGGTGTATGATAATTTATTATTATTTAATTGTATTAATTAATACATACCTTATATTATAAAAACTTTGAATATTTACATAAATTATAATTTAGGAGACTAACAAAGCTAAATATTTTTAATTCCTTACTATTAAATTAAATGCTTACACATGATAATAACCTATACTAATTATTTTATAAACTACTTTCTTTTCAATTGTATATATTATAAAAATATTTAAGAGTAACTCGAATTTATTTAATTCGTATAGAATTATTCTATATATACACAATAGTAAATACCGAGACAATTTAAGAATAGCAGCAATGTGAATTTGTTATAAAATTTTCTCTTTAGTTTTAAAATTTACATTTAATATTCAATTATTTTCAACATTAACCTAAGTTTAAAAAGGGAGATTAGTAACACAAAATTCTACCATAAGCTTAAGCAATTCTTTCACATCTTTACCGGCGAGGTAACGTCCAATATCAGTTATGAAAAGTAGCTAAAAGCAGAATAACGAAATGAAATATGAAAACTACGCAGATTGTCACTACCGACAATTGTCACTACAACAAAGTATCACAAGGGCTGCGAGGACGGCGAGTCACTCGTCGAGTTTGACGACGAAGTATCGCACAACCCTCTCACAAGACACTACATCGGCAGATATTTGTCGTCTACAAGAACAACTACACACAGTCACAATAAAAAAAGACCATTATAATGAAATGCTATGTAGAGTCCTGACTTATACGAGCACTTCAATTTACTTAAAAAATTATAAATAATTTAGATTTAAAATAAAATAAAAAAAAATTTATTTAATTATTATAAAATACTAAATACAAATATATTCAAATAAATAATGTATAAAATTTATTACTTATAATATTATAATTCTTAAGTATTCCTAATAAAATGCTTTATGATTTTTTCTTTACTTTTCTTCAGTTGAGTGAGTTCCAATATTTTTGTAATAACACAATAACTAGTAACTGTGTAACATTTATGACTAATTAAAATTTATATTATTATTTATATAATAATTTCTTCAAATATTAATTTTTCTACATTTTCAGACTTGTGAAGTTACACAAAAACGTATGGAATTCGTTAAGTACTCTGGAACGTTTCATTTTTACGGAATGGCATTACGATAATAGACGCGCGCTTGAAATGGCTAAAAGTTTGGATAAACTGGACCAAAGTATCTTCTTCCTTGATATTGGTGAGTTAAGTTGGGATGAATACTTCCAGAACACAATCTTGGGTGTGCGCCAATACTTAAGCAAAGAATCACCAAAAACCTTAAATGCTGCAAGAAAAAAAGATAAAGTGTGAGTAAAAAACGAAATAAGCTGTTGAGCAAAAATTATTAATAAATATTTCCTACTTTCAGACTCCTGGCAATGCACGTTGGCTTGCAATTAGCTTTCTATTACGGCTTCTTCAAATTAATCATTCTCTTGTTTGGCATATCCAATGCAAAGGCCGCATTATTGTTGCCTGTGGTTTACTACTTGTTGGGATTACTTTAATTGAATAAATAAATTAGTTATAATTCTAAGTTATTAATTCAACAGGCTTCAATGTTTTTCTTCTTCATAATTTATATTTATACACAAATAGTTTTAGCTCTGGTTTAAAATAAACAATTTGTATGGTGTAGCTTTATTCGTTTTTTTTTCTCTAAGTTATAAGTATTTTGTTACGGCATTTTATTATTTTTTCAACTCAAAAATTTTTTTTTTCGGTCTTTGGCATATTCTTACTTTGTTAACATCGCTGCCTTTTCTTTATCCAATTTCTTCTGACCCATTTCGGCTAAGATTTCCTTGTGACGTTCTTCAGCACGTTTTTGTTTAAATGTACGCTTCTTCTTTTCCATTTTGGGTTTCAGTTTATTAAGGCCACCTTCTGCTACCCAATCGCGCAATGTTTCTGGCATATCAATGCTCTCAGGTATATCAATATAACGTATGGACTGATTTCGTACATGATAATTATCAAACGAATACTGCAGACCGTCACGATCAATGAGCACAACATCCGTGAGACTAATATTCATTTGGCTAATAAAAAAAATGTTTAAATAAAAAAATAATACAGTGTAGTGTTGTTTTACCCGTCAGCGGATTCAATGCGTCCAGCCACTGAAATTTCATTGCGAAGTTCAATAAGTACAGCACAGCCAGTCAATAAATATGGCACCGAACTAAGAGTGTTTGATATCAAAAATTTGTCTGCTTTAGATTCCATAGTATTTTGTTTTAAATTGTGCACAAATATTCATATTAACCTCCGGTAAACAAACTCCCTCTCAAATTTACACTGATGCAACTAGTGTACAGCAATATACTACACAACGATTACACTTCAAATGTCAAAGTTTTGCACCTTAACACATTAGAACGAGAAGTACACATGAAATAAAATTAAGCTATGTGCACACTGCTACGATATGATACGGTCTAGCCCAATATCGTACGACCTGCGCTACTAACGCAGACAACTGTGACAGACGATATGTACACTGCCTAGTGTTTAATGTTCTACGATTTTGTACACGTCAGTTATAATTTTAACTGACATTTCAAATTATTCTTGATTTTGATAGCATAGAAAGTTCAAATCAAAAAGACTAGAGAACTGAAAATGGAATTGAATCGCAATTTCTATAAAATGAAGTTCATTTTAACTTGAACAGTTCACCGTAGTGCAGTACTGTGCAGTAAAAACTTATGTTATTGCGAATAGTTTTGAGGAATGTCTAAAATTTGAATTTTTTGTTATTGCAGCTGTCTCCCAAGCAATTCAGTATAATGGAGTACTATTCAAGGGAATAGCAAGGGAAGAGTGAGACTTGTTACCTGGGAGTAATAGGCGTGCATATATAAACAAAAACTCCACTAGTCGCAAAGGCAAAACCAATATTTTGTGAATATAAGTTGTAATTTAACGTCACATTTTTCAGACGGAAGTAACTATTCTATTTAATAGAAAATAGCATATTTCATAAAGAGGTTTTCAGTAGTGAACTACAACAACAAAAATTCATTTCATATTATTTTAATTAATTGAAGTTTTGGCTGACTATGGTCAGCTGTTTCGAGTATTGTCTAATACCCATCATCAATGGTCTTGGAAATAATTCTTGTATTTTATTATTTGCAAATAATTTTTTTAAACTGAAAGTAATTTTGTGCAAATTAGGGAAAAAATTCCCATTCCCATATTATTCAGAATAGAAGAACTGGGAAAAGAGAAAATAACTCTCATTTCCATGTGATTCGGAATAGGGAGAATATGAAAAAAATTGGTTATTAAGCACAGCTATAGTTTATTGTATACAACTTTGTTGAACATGGCATAAAATTTTTAAATTTAGTTGACGTAAATATAGTCAGTGTTAAAATAACAAGAGTACAATAATTAAAATATTTCTGCAGAAAAATTTAAAAATATGTTTTGGTAAAATTTTGTCGATTCATTAAGATTTTGGAATTGCTAGTCCACACTTAGTACCCATATTTGGTCTGGTTGTTTCTAAATAAAAAAAAATTAGTATGGCTTTCGAGATTTTGTTTACATTTTACCCTATTTTTTGGCGTTTTTATCCTGGGTTCCTACTTCCGGTTCCTTTTTGGTAACTTGTGTATTTTTATCACTTGCGCAGTCCTTTGAGTTAAGCCTCTTCGGTAAGTTAGTTATACCAGTTAATTTATTTTTTGGCAAATTCGGATTGTTTGTTATCTTGTTCGAATTAAAGGCATTTGATTTTTCTTCAGCCCGAACAATTGTTTTTGTAGTTTTTGGTTTACATGCATTTGTGGCCAGTTCATCACTCTGCTGTTGATCCTTAACTGAAGAAGCAATATTTAACAATTCGTTTCCCTTCTGAGATTTTGGTAGTTGTACATTTTTAGTAGATTTAAAACCAATTGAAGCACGTGTAATTGGAATGGTGGATGATGGAGCTATTAGTTGTTGTACGCAACCTTTATCTTTGACTGCTGTAGATTGTTGTGTTGAACCAGCACAATTTTCAACTTTCTTGTTATTGGAATTAAGAGGACGCTCTTGGGATTGTTGGGGCATAACATTTTCTCCACTGCCTTTATCTTTACCTATTATTGATGTACGCGAGGTACCAGCGCCAGCACAGTTCTGAACAGTTTTGCCGTTGGTATTTGAAGGACACTCTTGAGATGGCTTGGAAAAATTTACGTTTTCAGCAGTTGTCGGTTGTGTTGTTTTTAACTTATTTTGATTTAATACTTTGGTCTTGCGTATTACATCTGATAGAGCATTGTTAACTGCAGGTTTAGCGGTACTGCTAGGTGGCTTTTGTTTACCGGATTTTTTTACCTTTGTTTGTACAGGCTTAAGATCGGGGTCAACCCAACCATTATCACGCCAGCGAGTCAAGTTTTCAAAACGGGAATTAATGTTATCAATCTATAAATTGTAAATTAATAACTTATCAAAAACCAAATTGCACATTATGATTAAGTGAGATGCGGTAACATATGAATTTATTACACTTTTCAATTAATACGTAATAATATATTTATAAATTACCTGTAAACACACAAGTGACCAAAATCCATCCAAGTCATCAACTGTTACAAGTTTGTTGTCTTCTTTTCCGTCATCAAAAGTGCCCTTTCCAAGCAACCCATTTCTGCAACGGTCAATCAGTTGCTCGAATTGTAAGAACTTTTTCACTGTTAGCAACTTTGTCTGACCGATTGCTACATTTATCATATCATCTCCAGCTTTTGCTGTTAATAAGTTTAGATTTTCAATTTTATATTGCTCCCAAGCTGCACACATTGCTTCCAAGCGCTCTGTTTCACAAGTCAATTGTTTTTGAAAGAGATTTACACGCGGCAAGCATTTCGCATCGCCTTTAACATTTACCTCGGATTTTGCTTCAACATGGCCATTATTATTGGGATTCTCTGGATTAGCTGCTTCACGCTGCACATGAGATGTACGAGTTTTTGGAGTCAAACAATTGTTAGCATCATCAGGAACTGCGGTGATTTTATCCTTTGCTCTTTTGCCAAATTCCATAATTTTATCTTAAAGAATATTTATGAACAGTCAGCAGAAATGAAAAATTTTTATATAAATTTTCTCCAAACTGATTTAAATTTAAAATATTGTAGAATCGTAATAGACATAGATTTGACAATAGTAGCTTAGCATTCTATGTGATACAATTTTAAAATTACAAAATTGTTGAATTGTAGTTCGAGTAAATTGATGGTAAATAGAAATAGTAAATTATCTCGGCATGGCAGCGAATTTTGGTATTTACCATTTTTTAGAGAAAAATTTTATAAGATGTTTAATAAATAAGAAAATTTATTTAAAAACTTTTTACCAAAAATATTAAATATGTGCAATAAATAAATAAATATTTACAAAAGTGCAGTGCAAAAAATTCCTAGGAAATTTAAATTTACTTCACCTCAATTTACTCGAACTCGCACACGGCGTATAAAAATAAAATATCTACCATTTTTAAGATCTTCATTTGTTTGTAACTCTAACGGCATTGCAATGTCTGTTGAATATGTTGATTCCAATATTGAATAACGGATAAACTTAAATTTTCTTTGTTGCCCAGCCAATCCACTTTTTGAAAAACTATCATACGGTGGTTGAAGCAGAGCAATTTTATGCTGTTGCTTTATTGGTTCTATAGGACTTATATTATCATTCATATCCTCAGCGGTCCAGTCGAGTGGTGAGTATTTGGTCGATGTCACAATTGTGTAAAACGATTTCACTCTCTTGTAATCATTTGGTGTTTGAAAAATTTCATGAGATGCTTCGACAGTATTTAGGAATTTCCTGGTTTTATCCGTATTTGTTGCTTTTATTAAATGTTTTTGCGATGTTGTTACATTGGCAGGTATCTGAACCACTTTACCAATATCTCTTTTACCTGTTTTCTTTTTGCAATGCATACATTCATCTTTACACGAACTACCACACTTTATCTCAACATTAGGTTTGTTAATATAATCCTTATTATTTGGCTTGAGTGGATAAAAGTAATTACTTTTTCTGCAGTCTATTGGTTTTGGTACTGTCGAAACATGTTTACCAGTTTTTGCAGCAGATTGGACTGTCCCACCAGAGATCGTGCACTGTTTTTTCAATGTTCCAGTTCCCGTAACAGCTGGTCTCCCCACAATGCTACATTTAAGATTATTATTGCTGGGTATTCCCGTAGATGCAGTTGAACTTGTAATTTTATTTGTTGCTTTAGTATCTTTTCTGGTTATTAACTTACTGCGGGTGTTGTCCACCTTCGTAGGTGCCATTATTTTCATATTTTGCAGCGATGTTAAATTTTGGTTTTTGATGCGTTTTTCTGTAATACAAAAACGATTAAGATTTTATTTCATTTAATAAAAGAAAAAAACTTTTTTGAATTATACCTTCTGCAACTCCTGCAACTGGATTTGTTTTGGTCTTTATGTTTTCCACATTTAACACCTTTGACATTTTTTGCTTAGTGTCTGGAATGTTATTGCTTTTCGGACCTTTCGCTGAAACTTTTTGGTTTAAATGGTAAGCATTTGATGCATTTTTAATACCGTCAACAGTTTCCCGCCGCTTAATTTCTTTGCTTGATGTTACACCTCTTGTATTATATGTCCCGACCACTGGTTTTAATATTGGCGCCGAAAAAGTTCTACTGGAGGCCGTTATTTTGGCTGAAAATTGTTTATTCATTGGCGCCAATGGCGTGGCACGCAACTTCATATTATTTTCACCTCCCAATTTAGTTTCTTTTCTTGCTTCAATATATTTTTTTAAGAACTGTTCGCGTTGAAATATTTTACCAGCACCCTCGGACTTAACCAAATCATTTACTCGAGCTTTACCAAATGTTTTCCCTACATGCTGTTTAGTTTGATCCAAGTTTTCTTTCTCTGTGGAATTCACATTTGTTTTATTAATAGCAGCTTCATTTGCAATCATTATTATAGTTGAATACTGATGTTATTTTATTTTAATACAATAAAGATTATGTTGATGAACCTCCAATTATAAATCAATGTAATAAATATGCCGTAATAACCAAATGAAATATGTTGAAATGCCGTTACTATAATTTACCTCAAAGGGAAATTTTTTCCGGAGTGGCATTTTTGGTATTTTTAATTGCTCTTGACAACTTGCTTATTTGTTTATTTGTAAGTGATATCTCATTCAGATCAGAGAAAAAGAACTAACAATGCACTCTACATAAATTGGTTTTATCATTTAATTAATCCAAGATTTGAATTGCATTTTTTTAAAAGACTTGATTAAGCTTGCTTTCATATGATTGAGCTCATTATTAACAAATCAGCTTATTTAAGGCGAAAAATGTCGAATGCAGCCCTAAAAATATATTTCCCAAAATTTGAAATTTGAAATATATGTAATATATAAACAAAAACACTGAGGAAGTAAGTATTTAATAAAATCTTTGTTTTTATTAATTGAATATGTAATTGATACATAAAATGTATATAAAAGATTTATTATATCAAGATTTATCATATAATTTTTTTGTGTGATATATTATTAAGTGAAGTTTATAAAAGTTCTGAGAGCTTCATAAATGAGCTCATTATAATGTGAACTTTAACTTATTAATTATTATTATTATTATTATTAATTTTTATTTGTGAAGTTAATTCAGTGACTTAGACATATTGCATTATAACTAATATAAATAAAATATATATAATGATGAAACTTAATTTCTTTTATTTACTTCACAATATTTACTTATGGAGAGTTAAAAAAATTTTGAATTCTTTATCGAAACGTCGCTAACAGTTCTACTATATTAAAACTTTCTTTCGTAAAAACTAACAATATATAAACTGTGTCAATTTGATTTTTCAGATTTTTAAAAAGATTGAAAGTTCAATTTTCTTCATTACGTAATAGAATGATAGTGTAAACACTTATGCAATTATTGCTAATAGAAGTAAGTGAAATATAAATTGAGAATACAATATACGATTATAAAAGGTAATAGTAATTAAAGAAAATTTACCTAATATTTCTATTTTTATGGCATATAATACTAAAATAAGAATTTAAATTGCCATCTATTAATATATTAATTGCATTTATTATGATATCAGTTGTTAAAAACGGAACTGATACACATGGTTGTATTAGAGTTTTACATTAAATAAATTAATTCGTTTGAGCATATATGAACTAATTTATATACAGCTAAAATTAACTTAAATGTACAATAAAAATGTTATTATACGTTTTGCTTACATTAATAAATCCAAACCAGCTTAAAAACTTATTTTAAGAATCAGAATTAATTCAATCCATGACAGATTGGACATATTACAACTGTATATTTTAAATGCGTCATGTGCTCGCTCCATAGCTGGCAGATGTTATGAGAGTACATTTTAAGTTAAGTAGGTAATTGCAGTAAAATACAGAATTGTAAAATGAATTTTATTATTTTGCGGTCACATACACAAAAATATTAGAGAAAAAAAATTTTTGGAAGTTATTGCATAAAAATTACTTGGCACTCCTTTGTATTTATTTTTTGTATATTGGCAACTCTAATTTAATTTCTTTGCTTGATGTTACACCTCTTGTATTATATGTTCGGCCACTGGTTACTATTTTTGACGTTCGCATTGTTTCTGTTGTGATTCATAAGGAAAGTAAAAATTGTGTAAATTTTATTTTTTTAATTGTTCAGTCGTATAAAATCAAATAATAACAAGATAATGGAAACTAATAACACTGCAGCTGAAAAACTAGCTGAGCGAAAGGAGCGTTTACGAAATTTGCATAAATTACGTCAAAATGCCCGTACAGAAAATCATCAAGAAGTCGTAGCTGAGGATGCTCGTAAAAAATTGCCAAATAATTGGGAAGCGCGAAAACGTCAAGCGGATTGGATAATAGCTGATGAAAAAGCTCGTACTGAAGCGAAAGCTGCAGGAAAGGACTATGAACGTTTAAAATTATTAGAAGTGTCTGCAGTTGATGCAGAACGCATCGAAAAGAAAAAAAGGAAGAAAAACCCAGATTTGGGGTTTTCCACGTACGAAGCACAAACAGCGCGGCAACATAGTCGATTAGTTAAAAATATGCCTCCGCGTGATATGGGAAAATATGAAAAACAAAAGGCTGAATTAGGTGATGCATTCTATGGTGGTCCAAACACAGTTTTGCATGGTTTGACCAAAGACACACCTGCCGCAATCAATAATATGGTCAAAGATTTAGAACAACAAATTGAACGAAGAAAGAAATACTCCAGACGACGTATTTATAATGATGATGCCGACGTTGACTTTATTAATGAACGTAACTCTAAATTTAACAAGAAACTCGAACGTTTCTATGGTGAGCACACTGCAGAAATCAAACAAAATTTGGAGCGTGGCACGGCCATTTAATTTAAAAGTGATAATCTAATTATGTTGATGTAAATAAATGAACATCGATTGAGAATATTTTTAGGTAATATTAAGATAATGTTTAAATAAAAATATATAAGTAAAAAATAAAAATTAAATAATAAAAATTTATTAGTGCGTTAAAATTTTTTATGTATTATAAATATTGAAAGCCCTCTAGTGACAGACGTTCGGCGTCCTTGTTTATTTGAGCCATAGTGTCTTCTGAAATGATACGCACGACAGTCTCGTCTGTGTCATCATTCGGATTATCGTCTAGAATATATAGCAAGCCGTCATCTTCATAAGTTGGAAAAAAGTACTCAGGTTTATCCCATTGTTTTTTAGTTCCAATACCAAGATGCTGCTGTGTTATCATGTGTTCAAATAAAAGTTCTGAATTTTCACAACGTAAATTGCAAGTAACACAACGAAACAGGCATATTTGACGTCTCACATAGTTAACGACTTTGATTTTTTGATAAAAATTAAGAGAACGTATGCTTTCATCAAAGTCTACCTGATGTTTATTAAGTACATGTTCTTTGAAGGACTTGTAGTCATTTTCTTTTTGATTACAAAACAGACAATTCAATGGTGGAAGCTTGTCATCATTCCAGTCGGACCAATCTGAATCGTTATCATCACTACTATTCTTAATACGTTGATCAAAATCAACACTGCCCTCGTTAATACTTGTTTTGGGCTCTCCTCTTGTAATATTTTTGGACGTTTGTGGGTTTTCTTTTCGAGATTTCTTATTTTGGTTAAAATGTTTTGAAGTTTTGTTTTGTTTATCTATGCGATAATTTTCCAGATAATATTTATCGTAGGTTCGATTACTCTCGTTGATACGTTTATGACCTTTCTTACGCATGTGTTCTTTAAGTGCAATGCGGTCTTTAAAAATCTTTTCGCAATAAAGACAAATAAGATGCTCTAGGTTATATTGCACCTTGGATATTAGTTCATCTACGTAAACAAGATTTTCTGGTTTGCCTAATTGTAAAAAGTGTTTATTGAAAAGATGTAATAAGTAATCAGATCGTAGACCACTGATTACATCCCGACAATATAAACATTCCTTAGAAAAATTACGATCAGTTAGCTCGAATTGATGTTTAGCTAAAGCTCTTTCCAGACTCTGATGTTGCAACCGCTTTCGCAATTCAAAATCTTTAGGAAGTATATCGCAGAGTAAGTAATATCTCTCGTTCTTAGCTGGCCTCCCATCTGGCAATTGATCTAGTAACATAGTTGTGCAATATTCTTCAAGTTCATGATCTAAAATAAGAAGAAATAAGTGCTGTAATAAAATATGATAATAATATAGTATTTAATTTTAAATGGAGGAAAAACAATAAAAACTTAGTAAAAGTCTACAGTATTCTAGTAATCTTATGAATGAATGAATCTGATAAAAAAAAAACTCTCAATTTCATAAGAGTTCAAAATATTCAAATTTATATACTTGTTGTTCTTATATACAAATTCATATATATATACATACTTTTAAATTCAGTTTGCCAATATAATAAATAATCTGTTAAACAAGCTATGTCTTCAACATCTGCAATAACTAAGCGATGTATAAGAAATAAATGCGCTAAATATTCATCCTTGTCCCTTGGGAATGTATAACTATTGTCACATTTTAAACAATCAATTGTGCTATTTTCATTATCTTCGGTATGTGACGATTCATTAAATAATAGCACCGGAAGAACTTCAATTGGAGTTTTAAATTTCTCTAACGCTTCATCCATTTCTATATTACATTAAGAAAATCTTGATTTTGAACTCAAAACCTTAGAAAAGGCAAAGTATTTCTTGGAGCTTGAAAGCAAAACATGCCAAAAAACAGCTGTGAAAACGATTCCGTAATAAACTATTCACAATAATCACATACAAAATTTTCACAATTATCTGGCACTTAATACTAAATTTCTTGTGTAAATTGTGTAAATATGCAGTTCTTGTTTGCGATCTTTTATGAAAGATCGCTTACCGTATGTAGTTTTAGTGAAATTAGAGTAAATAGTTACTTAAATTTAAATAAAAACTTATTAGTTATAATTAGGATTTAAAAAGTATAGTTTTTTCATAAAAACAAAGCGGATACATTAAATTAAAATGTTGTTAAGCTTATTTTTTCCCAAAACTTATTACAAACAAATTATTACAAGTAAATATTGGAAGGTATATTTGATATAAGATAATAGATAATATAAATAAAAATTGTTTAATTACTTTTAAAACGAAGCTCAAATAAAGAACATTACGCTAGAAATAATTCGTTATAAGCTTTCAAATTATAATATAATTATAATGTTGTTTCAAATTTATTAAACTAAGTAGAGAATCAACTATTTCGGTGATTCTCAGATTAGTACAAATTTGATTAATAGTGCTGCCAGTCCCAAGTGTCGTAATAATAACTTAAAATGAACTTTTGTATAGAAATTTGTTAGCTATCTCTCTCAGCTGTTTGAATCGTGTGTAAATAATTTTCACTGTTAACGTATGTTTCGCTTTTGCTGTTGATGCGAGTGCTGCCAAGGAAATTACACACAACAAACTAATCAGATTACGCATTTTGGGTCGTTCAAGCAACTGATTAACATCAAAATGCTAAATTGTTTTTATATGAAGTTTTTGAATCAACTAAACAACTAATCAGTTGCCTGAATACCCCTAAAATAAAGAAGTGCTCAACTAACTCTTGAAATAATTATAAAAAGAGCACAAATAATAAACTATGCTATTTGACGTCGCTTTAGACTATTTCATGCAAATAATTTTTTTTTCGCACAGCTAAAGAGGTATTAGAAAATTAATACGTGTGTCGTAATTTGTTGAAATATTTTTTGGTTGTAACTATTTTTTAATTAAATATGTTTAAGTAATTTTCCATTTATAACATGAGAACATATATTTGATCGCTCCAAATATTTATTCTTTCTATTGTGAATAGTATATTTTTGAGTCCTCAACTCTACATACGGAGAATAAAAAATGTCGTCGTATGACAGTCCAGTGATAAATAATATTTTTTCGTAATAAGATTATTTTTCTGTTAAAAGTTTTATCATTATTTCACAATATATTCTTTTTTTTAATAAATATTCGTGTGTATATTAATATATTTCAGTCGCAATAATTCGCAGCTATATAGAATTGTATAGAATAAGTTATGAATTATAGCTTTAAAGAAAGTGTTCGTGAAAATATATTGCAAAAACGAGAACAAAAGATAAAAATCGTATTAAAATAAAAATTCAATTTGCATTAAAGTTTTTTTTTGTGGTAAGTGTATTTATTATAACGCAAAACAATATAAATTTATAAAAAGAAAGGCAGTAATTCCTAATGTTTGGTATTATTCATTCATTATTAAAAAAAATTTTGAAAATTGGGTTGTTTGTTTTCGAAATATATTACATATATAATTGTGTTTATCTGTGCAGTGTGTATTAATTGGATGCAATATTCTCCCTTTGTCAATTCATGGCGTACAGTGTGGTCTATTTTCGTGGGTGGTTTATTATTTTGCCTTCTTGAAATTTTATTCTATTCTTTCGTTTTATTACATTTCATTTTTACGGACGAAGGTACAAATTTAACGCAGACACAAAATAAATTTTCATGTGAAATTTTATCAAATACATAAATTGCTTTATCAATGTCACCTGTTTTTAATGCCAGTATGTGCCGCTTTCGACACACAGTTTCAGTCGACGACATAAAACACATATAAAGGTGCTGATAATATATAAAAATAAACCCGTTCACTCCTTTACTTCTTAACTGCTTGTGCTTTCATACGTAAGATATGTTTTTATTTTGCAAGTTGGAAATTATTTCCGCTGATAAAGTCTACTCGTTTTGCAAAAAGCAATCGCAAAAAATAAAAAATTTGGAAAATATAAAAGTTTTGTTGTTTTTGATTTTGTTGTTTTTCTTGCAGTAGCAAATTTTGTCATTTCTTTTTAATTTCCATTCATTAAAATTTTTTCTTTTGAAATTTTTAAGTTTATGCTCTGTTTTTGGATTCAAATATTTTTTTTTTTGTATTTTTGGTCTGTACTTGTTCTTTTCGGAAAATTCGGAAGCAATACTGATTAAGAAGAGTACAAGATAGCATTCTCAACAATTAAGAGACAACTTTGTATACATTTTAATAGGTCTATTCCACCAATTACTCATAGTCAAACTCGAGTAAAACACAAGTAAAGTACCAATTGAGAGCGTAACACAAACAAAGTGCCAAATTACACTCTTTACACAGATTTTCATGGAACAGCTTTGTGTAGTCTGGAGAACACCAGTACCGCGCAAATAAACAATACAAAAGTTTAAATTCAAATCAAAACAGCTGATTCACACATCAACACAAATTTTACTTGAAATAAAATGTACGAGTAAAGTCTGTGCAGCATTTTCAAATTTTGACAGGGATGTTACGCTCTCTCATTTACTCGAAAATTAGCTGGTAGAACGCACTGTGTTACACAGTGTTATTTAAAGTTACTACGAGTAGCTCGTAGAACAGACCTAATAAGGAGTTTGTTGAGTTGTTTGTAATGATATTAGCGACACAAATATACTTATGTATATATCCTCAATTAGTTGACTATAAGAATCCATCTAATATTGTTTCAACACATATTGTTGTGTTGCACATACCGACCGACTTTATAGAAAACACCTCGTATACTTCGTGTTAACGGACGTTGGAATATTTATCGTAATAAGCAGAATCAGGTAACCCATGACTCCATATAAATCATATAATTAAAACTGTACAATCTGTGTAGATTTTCCTTCATTTGGTATGTGATCAATTCAGATAATATGTATTTGACATATGATGATTATTTATATATAAAGGTTCTGATGTATTTTTAATTGATTATTAATTGATAAAGAGGCTGAAATGGTTCTGATTTATGTTTTCCTAGAAAACACTCTACTCTATACCATTTATAACACTTGAATATTAAGTATGGCTACTATATTATTATGACAAACTGTATCGATCGGTTTTGTTTGTTAGGATTTTAACTTTAATTTCGATCGACTTTAAAGTATTTTTGACGTTCCAACTTTTTTTAAAACAAAAAAAAAAAAGAATCGATCAGTTTAAATTTGATAATTCCTACTATATAAGGTGAAAAGTGATCTTCAAATTTATCAAGAACTGCTGTATTTATCTATAACTTTTAACCAAAATTTTCATTCCACTATTTTTAATATTTCTGTATGTATATTAATTCAGATGCAGATGCAATATGAAAATCTTTTTGATTTTTTTACATTATTTTCTTAAATTTGGTTATTTAGCAACTATACTTTAGTATATGTGCTACCGAGATAAAAACAAAATCGTTCACGTCTACAACAACAACTTTGTGTAAAGGGTATATGAGCTACGCCTTTGTATGGCTTAATTTTATATATATTTAATTTTTATATATTATGAAAAAAAATTTAATAGCAATTTATTTCAAACAGTGGTGCTTTGTTTAATTGAACTATTCAAAAACAAACAGGTTTTACTAATATTAATTAATGTTACACATTATAATAATAAGCTACAATAATCTAATTATATTAAGGTTTAATACTTCAGTGAGTTGGTTATTTTATATTTTTAATCAATCGAATTAAAAATTCGATTTTTTCAAATATCTGACTATAATTTGCACTTAAAATTAATTCTCATCGTTTAAAATGTATTCATTGTATTCACAAATATCTTATAGATTACATATGTATGTAAAGGATTTTTAGTATCTTCTATGCATATGCTTCCACACCTACTGGTGGCAAATGTCACACCGAAATATTACTTTGCATTATAAGTATGTTTAATATGTGGTTTTCTTTACTTGTAAATTTTTGACGTCAAATGGTTATTGTGCAGACGAAAGATATATTATGACGGCAAACATGTATTAACTGGTCATAACTAGTATTTTTGATAGCAAATTTTATTTTGGTTATCAGCAGTGATTAGGGAACACCTTACAACGATTCGGTTTATTTATATACAGTTATTATGAAAATTTTCATAAATTATCTACATCAACAGTTGTTACCCGTGGTTCTTAGCTTTGCGTCTTCTCTTTTTTTACTCTCTTCAATGTTCTCTTTGACACAACAGGTGCTAACAATAGTTTTATTTATGCATTTAATATTTTTTTATTATTATTTTTAGATTTTAATATATTTTTTAGCTTTTCCATAATATAAATTTGAATCAATAAACCGTCCAATTTCTTTTTAATGTATTAATGTATAAATGTATATATAGTTTTATCTATGTCACACATAATTTATAATGTTTAAAAGCTTAGTGCGGGCGTGTTACTAAAACCGAGCAATAATAAAACTAGCGAGGAATGGAATTCGGTCGTCAAAGTGGCGCCATGGAATTAGATAAAAATATTGATTTAATTGATAAACTTTATTTTTGTAGTATTTTTATACCCTATATACTTTGTAAATAAAATATATGTTGTTAATCGTTGTCGATCGAATCAAAACTTTGCACAGTGATTGTCAATCTAATCAGATCTTTGTCACCAAACAATATCATGTACCGTCTATTCTGAGAAATGTCAGGCATATAAAGTTAATATTATACATGCTAATATTAACACTGTCTGGTCGAAAAGGAAAGGGTCTTTGACCGCAACTGGCCAAAGATTGGTGTTGAGAAAGAAGGTGACCACGATTCCTTCTCGTCTTCAGAACCACCAATACTGTTGTGCTGAGCCGGTTCCGCTTTAGTTAAAACAGCTAACTGGTGCGATTTTTGTTCAGTTTGAGGCAAATAGATGTTGAGATCTGACAGGAATTTTATCTGCCTAGGTTTTTTTTAAAGTTATACCCAAATATTTTTGATTAGTTTGCTTGCCCGCTTAGCCGTTGAAAGTGGGATATTAATATCTGAGACATTAACATCATAAAAAACTGAAATGTAAACTACTTCTAGCTTGGTAGTTGAAATTTATTTAGGGTAATCGTATAAAACGTATGTCTTCTTTTTTTTCAATTTTCCGAAAACTAGATCGAATTTTTTAACATACGCCATAATCCACGTTCCATTGTTTAGTAAATTGTGTTTACTTTGGATGTCTATCAGGTTGCCTTTAAAACATGATTTTAAAATTGTTATGCTAACAAACAAAAATTTAGTACTTAAAAACCCTTATTTTTTAAAATAATTAATATGTGTAATTTATCTAATGTATTAACTTCTCTGTTCTCTTTATTTTATTAGCCTACTAATATATTTATATATAATGTAAGACGCATATATTTATCTGCTCGTTACTCTTTTCCCTCTCTTATTTTCTTATTTTCTCCTCCCGCAATTTTATTTAATATTATTGTTTTTTAATGCGAAAGTAATTTTTGAAAAAGATAAAATTTTCTAATGACGTCAGATCGGTATTTGACTGACGTCCGAAATTCCGCAAAACGCCTCTTCATATTATCGGGGAACAAAATAAAGATTTTTTATGTGCTATTGCCATTTCATTATTTCTTTGCTCGGTATTTTTACTTTTATGTGGCACTTATTTTCTTTCGCTTTTCTAGATGAATTGGAAAGATTCTTTATTTTTATTTCTATCTAATATTTTTGTATGAGAAAAAGTAGCGAAAGTGGTTGATAAAAATTTAGATTTTAATTCTTTGTTAGAATAAACTTTCGCTAGGTTTTCAGTTTCCGGTTAATAAGGTTTTGTGGGCATTCTTTTAACTAAATGTTTGCCATTTCAGTTGTTTCCAAGCAAAATATATTATCTGCATATTTATATATATATATATATATATATATACATTAACATAATGTATCTATATAATGTATATAATATACATATATATATACATTAATATAATGTATCTATATAATGTATATAATATATTTCATATCAGCAGGTGCAATTATTGTAATTTTCTTCAAAGCAATATATTAAGCAATATTCGTGTGCACGCCAAACAGAAAATTATTAATACATATATCATCTGTCGGCGCGCACCTGACGTATTCCTTATTGTGCTGATTATAGGTGAGTGGGAGTATATGTCTTTAAGTTTTCAGTCCTCTAAATACAGCCGTATAATACAAATGTAATCAATTAATTTTAATATTTTCTTTTAAAGAAGACTTTTACAAATTTTGTATAGTAGAAAACTTAAAAGCAGATTTACCCTAAAATTTTTATTCTTTATTTAAATTATATTTTAATACTGATTTAATAACCAAACCTGGTTATGGTGTAAATAAAAATTTA